ACCAGCACAGCTGGAGTTGAGACAGCTGGCTGCCTGGCCCGGCAAATCAGTGGACCAGGTGGTGCTCGATCCCAAAGAGCACCACAGGATGGAGAGAATGTTGCACCTCTCCATCCAAGTTCTGTCATACATAGACTTCCTGACAGTTTGTCTATACAGGGTATCCAATTTGCCTGAGTGTCGGTTATCCGAGACAGAACAGCAGACATACAGGACACGGCAGCCTTGCAGGTTCTCTGCTCGTCAATGCCGTGTTGGCTAGGCAGTTTTCAGTTCTGAAATTCCGCCCAGTCCAGTAACCCTACCGTTTCCGCTTGTTGAATGCCCCCTTCTAGGGCTCTACCCTGTTCAGGGGAGCTCTTCCTTGGGTTCAGAAGGATATGAAGGAGGACTCGGTCGCCTCAGCACTTCTGGTGAAGAGGTTTCAGGCTGAGAAGGCCAGTGACTCGCAGGGGTCAGTGCCTCCTAAGAAGAAGGCGAAGTCTTCGGCTGCTCAGTTTTCTGCACAGCCCAAGTCCCTACCTCACTTCAACGACAACAAGGGGAAGGGTAGGAAGGGTATGAAACCTCCTGGGGGCAAGAAGAAGGGTTCCTGACTATTTCTGCTTCTTGGCCGCGAAAGGCGAAGGGTATGGCCGGGTGGACGGTGGTTCTCCTTTCCCGGGCTCATGTCCTTCTCCTGCAGGCTCAGGCTCCGGGTGGGCAGACGATTCTCTGGTCTGGCAGGGGCTGATCTGCCCCATCCGGAACTCCCTGTGGGCGGACATCTCTCTGCTTTCCTTTCCTAGTGGCAGGATATTACAGAGGACGCTTGGGCTTTTGTTGGTGGTCAGGGAGGGTCTAGGTATTCCCCTTCTTCAGGATTCGTCCCTCGCCTCCTGGCCGTTTTTGTTTCTTTCCTCCTCCCGGGGATTCAGAAAGGGCACGGGTGCTCCAGGAGGAAGTAGGGACCATGCTGCCAAGGCAGAGATGCCCTTGGGGCTCACGACAGCTCCTTTGGTGTTCACCAAGTTGCTGCTGGTGTTTCCTTCACTCATGCAGAATAGACGTCCACATCTATTTCGACGACTCCCTCATGCCTCTTGGTGTGGGAATCGTTAGTGAAGGACACTCGTCAGGTCCTGAAACTCTTGCTCAGAGTCGGCTTCATTCCTTCCAGAGAGAAGTCAGAGGTTCCTTCGTATTAGGACTTCTTCTTCCTGGGGAACCATTTTGACATGGTTCGGGGCTTAGCCCTTCCACCTCTGGAGAAGTTTGAGAAGGTCAGGGCTCTGGCTCTGACTTTCATCACTTGGTCGCTTGTCCAGGTACATTGGTTCCTCAGTTTTCTGGGGTATCTCAACTCCTTGGCATATGTGGTCCCCCTAGGGAGGATTCACATTGGACCTCTCCAGATGTTCCTCCTGTCTGACTGGGTTCCGTCATCCAGGAGGCCCGCTTACCCAGTCGGTCAGGGAGTTCTCTTGCTGTTGGACCATTCAGGAGAACGTTTTCCACGGGGTACCTCTGACCAAGCCTATCCCCTCTATGATCCTGTTCATGGACGCGTTCATGACAGGAATGTGAGCTTACCTCGATGGCCAATGCTGCTTGGGGGAGTGGTCTGGCGAACAACTCTCGGAGCACATCAGTGTACTCGAGATGAGACTGTTCATTTGGCTCTGCAGTCCTTTAGGGGTATCCTGCAGTCCAAAGTGTGGCTACCGACAACAGTTGTTGCGTATCTGGAGAGACAGGGGCCACCAGGTCTCATGTCCTGTGTGCCCTCTCCATCCACATCCATCTTCTCTGCCAGGACATGCAGTTGACCATAGCGGTCAAGCATCTTTCTGGCAGGCTGAGTGTGTTGGTGGCCACTCTCCAGGCGCCACCAGCCGGTGTTGACGGAATGGCAGCTGTGTCCCTTGATTTTCAAGGGGAATTATCAGGCGTGGGACAGACCTATTATAGACCTGTTTGCCACTTCCCTGAACAACCAGCTGCTAACCTTCGTCTCCCCGGTCCCAGACCGTAAGGCGTGGGCTGTGGACGCCCTTTCTCTGGAATAGGAAGGGACGTATGCATATGCATTCCCTCCCTTCAACCTGGTGGGCAGGGTTCTACAGAAGTTCTGGGAGCATCACTGCTCCTTACTTCTGAGAGCCCCTCTGTGGCCGAGGCAAGCTTGGTTTCAGGAGCTCTTGTCGTTTCTGGTGGAGGAGCCCTTGGCTCTCCCCACCAGACCGAATCTCCTTCGCCAGCCTTGGCCCAGAACGACACACTCTTGACCAGAGATCCTCCACCTTCACGCGCTGAGGCTATCTCTGGAAGCCACGCCAAGGCAGGCTTTTCTCAAGAGGTGTCAGATTGCATTGAGCAATCAATCAGGGCTTCCTCTTCTGCCGTCTACCAGTCACGTTGGATGATCTTCTGTGATTGGTGTGTCGGCAAGGAAGCTTATTCATTCGAAGCCTCTGCATTTGATTGCGGACTTCCTAATCTCTCTGTTTAGGTACCGCTATCTGCCACCTGGCACTATTGCTGGCTATCGTACAGCTATTGCCAGAGTTCTTGCTTGTTATGGCAGGAAGGAGATCGGTTAGTCCTCCTCTCTTTCTGCCCTAATCAGAGGCTTTGCTATGAATAGAGTTGTTTTTAGCGAAGAATCAGGTTCCGGGGTTCTCGCACGATCCCATCAGGATCCTGGCTGTGACTAGCTCGGAGGAGCGAGATAGGTTGCTTTGTCCTTGTCGGGCTCTTAGGTTTTATCTTGATAAAACCAGGGAGGGGCGGGGCTCTCGATCCCGTCTGTTTTGCCCATTAAACAGGGGCAACGAGATATCTCCTCCCAGTTGGTTTCCAGGTGGGTTTGCCAGGTGATTTAGTATGCTTACGAGCATTTTGATGATCTGGCTCGGGCGAGAGCGAAAGCGCGGTCTCACGAGGTCAGGGCCCTTGCTTCATCCTGGGCCCTTCTCTCAATGAGTCCTCCTTTCAGGAGGTCATGTCTGCAGTATTCTGGCAGGGCAGGGATACCTTAACAGATTTTTATCTGTGATCCCTAGCTTCCCACTCAGAAGGCCTGTATTCATTGGGACCTTTGGTGGTGGCATAGTCAGTGGCTGGGCCTCCTCGTTAGCCCCGGGCCATGTCTTTCCGTACGGCGGCATGTGGGTACACCTGCTCTTTCACAGAGAGGTCCCTTCCTTCACTTTAGCACTCTGTTCTCCCTCCCTACTACTTTGGTTGTGCTGAAGGGGCTGCCTGGCTTCTAGTCACCACTACGGTAAGACGAATTCGCATACTAAAGTTATGGTAATTATTACTGAAATGAAATTGAGGTTTTTTAATGTAAAACCAATTTTCATGATGTAATACTTACCATAACTTTATGGAGTCCCACCCTATCCTCCCCTCTTCCTTATCTGCCTGGCTGCCCCTCTGTGGGGTTTATGCCATAAAGGTTATTAGAGGAAGGGAGATCACTCTGCGTTCCTGCCGTGATGGCTCATGGATCGTAGGGAGGGCGGGATTGTTTTTCTTTTGAATCTTTTGTTGTTGGGATACAAAGATGGGTGTAGGTACTGTATTTGCATACTAAAGTTATGGTAAGTATTACATCATGAAAATTGGTTTTACATTAAAAAACCTCAATTCACTGTCATGAATTCAGAAATATGAGGCAATGTGCAGAAAGAAGCAACATTGGTATTTCCATTGCTGTGAATATTTCAATGAAATTGTAATGTTGCAAACATAGTAAGGACAATGATTTAATTTTTACACTGTAATAAATATTTCCTTGCAATAACATGAGAATTTCAAAGCAGTGAAATTTTCTTAGACCCAGTGAAACAAACTTGCACAATAATTCATCGCAGTTTCATTAATTTGAGGTATTGTCATGAAGTTTTCATTGAATTTTCACGGGGTTTTTTATTATTATCTTTTTTGCAACAAATTCTATACATTGTATCTACATGTCTCAAAAATTAATTTACTTACTGAAAAGTCTAGTAGAGGTCTAGTGGGCGGATCAAAAATTATTTCTTACATACGACATATTCCATACGAAAGTGTACCATTTACTCCCATTATAAAAATGTTTTTGAAGTGAATATATTTCATTTATTTTTAACATCACCTGAAAATATGACCAAAATAAATCAATACTATGTAAAAAAATTATCAAGAATCAATAAAATCAGCATTTTAGGATTAAATTAAATTTTCCATGTGCTAATGTCATGTTTGACGGAATCTTTGACGGATATTCTGACATTAGCACTTGGATGATATACACATTCATATGAATCTCTTATAAGCTTCAGTTTTAAAAATATGTTTTAATAAAAAATCTAAAAATTTGACATTAAAACTATTTTAAATCTTGAAGCTTTCTTATATCAATGATGAGATATTGTGGTTTCAAAATTGTGCTAATGTCAGAAGTTGACGGAACAACTTGTTGCTAAGGTCAGGTGATGACGGAACAACTTGTTGCTAATGTCAGAAGTTGACGGAACTATTTGTTGCTAATGTCAGGTAATGACGGAACAATTTACGCTAATGTCAGGTGATGACGGAACTCTATTTTCAGGTTTGTTGTTTGTTTAGGTTTAACAGCCCATCAACACAATTGTATTGACAGAACTTTGTCAAATTCATGAAATTCCAAGATGTATAGTCATTAAGATCTTGTTGATGGAGATGGCGTTTCTGTGTTTAAAATAATACATTATTAATGCATTAAGCAATGCTTGATATTGTACAAGTTGTCGCACTCTTTGAAACCAGATTTAACCTATAAATACATGGCTGGTGTTGCATGTGAGGCAGGCATTATTTACTCTTCCAGAGCACACAGGCTTGCCTTCATCGTTTTGAATGTCTATGTGTTACCCATTATGTTTAACTTCAGTATGTTGATGGCTGCATCTGCAGAGTGGAATGTTCTTTCATATTGATAGAACGTATTCGGGTTGTATAGCACAATTTCAAAACAGTAAAAAATAAATCCATTTTTATGTATTTCTTCAAAAGTTTATTTCCAATTTATGAATTTCATTATTTCTTCTGTTCTCATCTTCACACCATTTCTGCAAGTAAAAAAAATGAGAAGAATAAGTATGTAAATTTCAAACACAATTCATACAATTTAGAGCCCTATATTGAATAATTTATTTTTGGTAAAAAAACATTGTTGAAAGACTGAGAAAATTTTGCACTTATTCAGGGATTAGGAGACAGTATTAATATATACAGTTAACAAGGATAGGTACATGGTAAGTTATGATTATAAGCAATAATTGATTAGGAACAAACTTTAAATGAGGTTTTAGATCCAGTACCTTCACATTCTTATAATGCAATGAGTCTTACCAAATTTGTATAACATTCTGGATCCATACATCTCAATTTGTGGGGGGTCCAATTTAGATAAAATATCAGCGGTGATGATGGCATGCTTTAATGAACCCATCACCCAACCCCCTCTTTTCTTCTCAAAGAATGAGACAAACGGCCATTCCTACACCTAAAAAAGCAACATAAAAAACACTTCACAGGTTGCAAAATTGTTTTCCTGTAATGGCATAGTTATGTTGAAATTAGAACACAGCTGGAAAATTGCACATTTATATGCTCTTCACATGTACTGATAAACTTTCTGCGATTTTAAATAATGGTGACTTGATATGTAAATTGTAAAACAATAAATGACCATTCAAAAATCAGCAAGAATTGAATTGTATGGGATGTTAAATATTATTTGATCGCAATAAATTTGAAAAGCTGTCTCCAAAGTAGAACTCTAAAACACAGTTTTGAAATTGACTAAGATTAATTGTTATAAAACACTATGCCTATATTATTCCACTTTATTATTTAGTTCAAATGTTACCAAATATATTACTGGGTGGCACCATTTTAAATAATGCAAACTAAACATGAACTTACATTGATCTCTAATTGTTTAAAATTGAGGCCAACATTAACTGTACATACACTAAAAGCAAGACCATTAAAACCCTTTTCCCTGACTGCTAGGGTATAAAATTGGAAACAAATGAGAACAAAGAATATACAAATGAAATTGTAATACAAACTGAAAGTACAATCAACACAAGAGCAGACTTGAAACAAAGGCAAGATCTACATGGAGACTTCCTGCAAAACTACAAGGAGAATAAGACCAGAGGTTCCAAAAGAATAAACATCTTCAATGATGCCACTTGTCCTGTAGATCTTTAGAAGTCTACTCAAGTGAAAAAGTAACCATAAAAAACTGGAGCCAACAATATACTTACAACAGCAGGATACGATTTTTTGCCATGAGCAATAAGTAAAAATTGCCCAGTGGAATAACTGGAAGCATTAATATATAATATATCTGATATCAAAATATTAATTACTGCATAGTCAGCGTTTATCAAACTGACAAAAAAACATCAATTTTTTTAATCTGACTTCGTATGATTCATTGTTAATTTCATGTGTTCACTTTGTTAGAATAATAACAATATATATTGGTTTTGAGTACATAAAGGACACAACAATTATCTATCATGAGATGGTACTGGTAAAAGATGTAATTGTGGGAGGAGACACCAATTACCTGTTGTCCATGGTTGCTTGATTCTGTTCACCCACACTTGCTAAATTCTCATCATCAATGATTGCTGGACTCTGGACACTTCAATTACAAAACATGACATCATTGTAATTGTAATCCTTCATTTTAATTCACAAAGTAGGATGAGGAATGTTTGTCTTACTCAAATAATGATTGACATTTTGTCTTAATTTTGGTGTATGGATTGGATATTGTAATGTACATTAACAGTATCTAAACTCAGTTACATATATTATGCACTGTTGCATGCTTTCACAATGCTTTGCTTTTGATCTTCACTTGACATCTAGTTAGTTTATGATATAATTTAATGTATATACATGTACTCGGAAATTTTCGTCACTGGATACTTTCCCCCTTGGTAAAACGCAAAATACTTTCATCTACTTTAAAAAGTTGTAATTAGAAAATGAACTTTTCTCCTTCCTGTTGTATTCTCTCCATCCTCAAAAGGCGAAAATATCCAGGTATACAGTATTTACTTCACATGTTGTAGTATATGCACCATCTGATCCTTAGACATCCTATGTAGTATGCTAGCTAGCTTGTAACATATCTGCATGGTGTGCGTTGTGTGCTAATGCGTATGGATCACTAACCAGTCAATCCAAGCACAATGGAAACTGGGGGTTCTAGCTAGTGCTACTAAAATTTGAATGGCTATTTTCATACAGCACTTATGATATAAAAAGGACTATAATATGTATGAATACACTAGTAGTGTACTGAACTAGTATGGTGATCGGCATTTCAAAATTCCTTACAAATTTCAACTGTTCATAGATATCTTGAGCAATTTAGTCAGGTCATACAGGCACATTATAAATCAATGGTTTTTGTTTTTGTTCTGTGTCTACTTACTGTTGGTTTCCCTGATAGGCTTTTATTGGACTCTCCGTCTCCTGTGAACTGGCTATTGGGCTTTCCATTGCCTGTGAACTGGCCATTAGAATTTCCATCTCCTGTGAACTGGCCATTAGACTTTCCATCTCCTGTGAACTGGCTATTAGACTTTCCATCTCCTGTGAACTGGCTATTGGACTTTCCATTGCCTGTGAAATTGCTGTTATTGGACTTTCCAAAGACCGTGAACTGAAAACAAATCAAAATCATTAGGTATAAAGGAACAACATTTATTAATATTACAATGTACTGGTATAAAAACTGAAGGATTTGTAAGGGTGTTAAGGTAGAGAAAAATCTGGCAAATTAATGAATTTATCTTTTGTTCCGAGTCTACTTACTGATGGTTTCCCTGATAGGCTATTATTGGACTTTCCATCTCCTGTGAACTGGCTATCACTGGTATTGGACTTTCCATCTCCTGTGAACTGGCTATCACTGGTATTGAACTTTCCATCTCCTGTGAACTGGCTATCACTGGTATTGGACTTTCCAGCTCCTGTGAACAGGCTATTACTGGTATTGGGCTTTCCATCTCCTGTGAACTGAAACCAAATCAAAATCTTTGTATAAAGGAATAACTTATATTTATTGATATTACAATGTACTGGTATGATGATTGACAGATTTTTCAGGGTCTTAAAGTGGAGGGGAAACTGCAATACACGGAGAAAAATCTCAATCAGTGCATGCCTACCCTTTTGATTTTGATGTTTGGCTGTTTGTACATCCCTACCCTTTTTGTATTTCTGTGTGTACCTCGATTAAATGCCTATTAGTCAAAATATAAATATAGTACCTATGATTATAAATCAATTATTACTTACTCAGTAACTGTCTGAAGCAATGTATCCAGGAGACTGTCATCCAACTCAATATTTTCATCAGAGTCATCTGTGAAATTCTCATTCCGACCACAAACTTGGATGAGAGGAACAAAGTGGTTTGGTATCCAATTTTCCTTTTGTAGATCTTCTCTAGTGGATGTCCACATAATGAACAGAGGCTTCCTATGTCGCAGAACAAGAGGGTTGATTTCCAGACCTAATACTGCTTTGGGTACTGGTCCCCCAAGTCTGGATAAACAGAAAAGACTGTGCTTCCTAGCATATCAGCGAGTGCAAAGAGCTGCCATATTCCCATGCACTCTTTGTCTCTAACAACCGCCATAGCTTCTGCTCTAAAAATTCTCTTAATTACAGATGGTGTGATTTTATCGCCTGCCGTGTACAGTTGAGACATCATAGTGTATGTGACACTTAGATGATCACCTTCTCCTTTGGGAAATTCCAAGCCTTGTTGTAGATTGTCATTGTTGGTATACAATTCTTCCCCCAGGCACATGGCAGTTACAATCCTAACTCTTATCTCTTCATGGTGTTCCTCATTGCCAAAACATGCGACACTGACCGACCTGGGCAGACAGTTTCCATCACCTGTAATTCTGACTGGCAATCTGTTGCTTAGATCATTATTTACAGGCAGTAACCTTAGAGCCACCTTATCAGCAACCAATTTTGATTGGACCACTGTTACTGTATCATCCACTTGTACATGGCATCTTCGGAAATATTTGTCTTCTGTTAAATGTAAGCATCTTCTTTGAAGTTCATCAAATGATGATGATTTCTGGAGGCTGGAAAGAGTGTTTCTGAAGAAAAGCACACGTTCATCCCCTTCGATGGACAATTGTTCAGGTGTTACATTTACCAGTTGAAGTGCTTTTCTGGTCCTTTTTCTTGTCTTCTTTTTTGGGGATGGTTTCTTCTCTTTGGTGCTCTTGGCTGCATTTTTACTGGAATTGTTTTCTTTGTTGGCGCTTTGTTTCTGACTTGGTTGTCTTTTTCCTTCATCACAAGCACTTTCTGTAATATTCTTTGAACTTCCAGGCTCCCCTGAATTGCTAGTGAGGTAAATTTTTTTGAAAGGGGCAACAAATTCTTTGTTCACACAAGAATATCCTTGGCTGTCCATCTGACAAGACTCGCAGAAGCAGGAAAGATTTCTGACAAGTAGTGTTGACAATTCAGGTGAGTTGTTTATTATTTGGTGAAGTTTCCTTGTTCCTTTCACAGTCTTTGTGTGGTTCTCCTTTCCTTGCCTTTGGATTTCTGATTTTGGAATGTAGAAAAACCTCCTCTTGGATAGACAGTCATCAATTTCTAAGTTTTCATGGCAGTACATGTACATATCCAATACATTGTTTATAACCACTTTTTTACCTGTAATAGCTCTATCTAAGGCCCTGTTTACCACTCCGATCTCTGCATCACAGTCACCTTTTCCATGTTCAGAGCCAAAGAAGTTCCTGTTCACTTTTCTGTCCATCTTGGCCAATATTCCAAAAGGTCCTCTTGACTTGAATTGTGCACTGCAACCGTCACTAAACAAAATAGTTTTATCTGGGATTCCTATCCTGTTACTCAAATCCATGTAAACTTTCTCCTGAAAATAATCCACAGCATGATAATCATGGTTTAGATCATCAGATATAACAATGTCTGCTTCTCTGACAACACCTTGTTGAGTGTGGTAGTAAGAAACAACAGGATACATAGTGATTTGTTCAACAGTATAAAATACTGACTTGATTTCTTCCTGATACTTAATGCTTCGGTTTTTAGCAAAATCTACCACTTGAAGGAGGGTTTGTTCTGGCAAGGTATTCTTAATCAATGAAAACTGAAAATCCTGCCATTTAGCAGTGTGTAGGTGGGAAACAAATGTTGTTCCTTGTGATGGCTGTAAGATGTCTTGAATGAATTCCTCCAATATTACCCTTTTTTGTCCACTCTTTGTCTTGAGTATCCTTTTCTTTTGCCCCTCTTGGCTATGGTACTCCCATCTTACCCATGTGAATGTTTTCTCCTCAGGGATGTCCATGTAGTAGTTTTTCAATGTTTCTGCAAAATTATTGCATGCAGAACATTCTCGGTTGACACATTTCTGTTTGAAAAATTTCTCATTGTCAGACTTCCGACAAAGTAGAATGTTTAGTAATGATCCTTCAGATGACACCTTTTTGCTCTTTGGACAACATCTATTTAATGTTAATAGTTTATTTCTGACGTTCATACAGTAAACGCAACAGCAATACTCTCGAAACTTTTCTGCAAGCTTTCTCACATTTCTAGGTCTTTTGGCTGCAAAACGCCCAAGTCCAACTTTGACTGATGATTCTAAATTGAACTTAGCATGGGCCTCACTGATGGAAATTTGCATCAAATAACCAGGACCCTCTTTGGTGGCGTAACGTTTCGTTGGAAGGACTCGTGATACATCTGATCGTTTATAAAACTCTTTTATGCAGTTATTGACATCCTGTGATTTTCTTTTCTTTTTCTTAGTTTTCTTTGTTAGGTTTTTTCTGTCAATTTTCAGTTTTGTAGCAACTGCGCGCTTGCTAAGATTTCTGTATCTAACTACAAGAGACCTTGCCAAGACTACCAAGGCCTTTTTTCCTTTAGTTGTCTTCTTCATTTCCTTTAGGCCAGCTTCTGGAACATGGATGAACTCATCAGCGATGGTTTTCCTTACTTTTTTCTGCTGTGGACTGGAGTTTTTGATTACATTGCGTAAGATTGTGGCAAACTTCTTTGGGGACTTTGGAAGTGTTTTTCTTACATTAGATGTAATATTCCATTCACTCTTTTTTGTTCTGAAGGGTGTACTGGATTTATCCTGCACTTCTGTAACTGTTGCCTTGGAAATATTTTTTCTCTCTCTTGATCTACGCTTTCTCTCTCTGTCTTTCTTCTTGACCCATTCTTTCTTCTGGTAATTCATTCTTTCACGTTCATTGCGTTTTGCTTGCCGATTGTACTCTTTCCTTTGCAGAATTTTTGCCCTGGTTTCAATAATACATGCATTTTTCTCTTTTCGTGATTTCTTTAAGTATGTTCCACTCTGTTTTCTTCTGTTTTCATATTTCTCTTGTCTCTTTCTCTGCAATGAAAGGATTCTTTCTTTCTCTTTAACCACTTCAGGGTCTGGATTTGTCTTTTTAAGTTCTCTTTTTATTTTATCTCGTTTTTCTTTTACTCGCTTTTTTTGCTTTTCCAAATAGTGACGATACTTGACAGGATCAGCCTCTTTAAGCCATTGTCTATATAAGTTACTCCTATGTAGTCCTGTAACAGGAAAAAAAATAATTGTTAAATGAAAAGGTTTGGATTGGCCCACATACTTAAAATAAAATCATATATCAGGTCCTTAGTTAGATGACCCTGGCTGCTGATAGGATGTTAAACAACTAACAAACGAACAGCTAAGTGCACAGCAAATAACTATTGGGTGTATTATCTCCCTTCAAGGTAGCCAAATATTGGTGACCACTCAATCTGTTAAGAAGTCAAGCTCCATCTGTAATGAACTGTTCGATTTTTTGGTTTTGGAAGAGCATAAAATGTCTGTTCAGGGGAAGCGAGATAATTGACTGCTATGTTGTCATGATCAATTGTAATGTTATTAAATAAATGTTTCTGATTTAACTGTTGATGTCTGTCTTCTTGTTGTTCTTTGTAACTGGGTATGTTTATTAAAATATTGTGACTTAACCTGAACTTGTGCATGTATTCTAGACAACTGCCTTTAAAAACGTTAAAACAGTGGTGAAGCCTTAGACTTTTTGATTTACATTTAAGAGGTCAATTTTTCAAGTTCTTTAAAAAAAACACTAGTTCAAAGTTTAGAATAAACTTTTCCTAATGGTATCAAATTGCATGTCTCAAATCCCAGGTATGCTTAATCAAATACTGTTCACGGATCCAAGATTCATTTTTAATTGACCTTTGCTTTTAATATGATGTGAAACAATGATAAATTCAACAAATCATCAAATTTGAAGCAATGGCTTGATAATTTACAATGAGTAAATTGCCTCAGATGTCCTGGATTGGTCATTTAGCTCCTTTGTCATGGGTTAACTGTTGCCTCAGAAGTCTTGGATTGATCATTAACTCGTATGTCATGGGTTAACTGTTGCCTCAGAAGTCTTGGATTTATCATTAACTTGTATGTCATTGGTTAAATGTTGCCTCAGAAGTCTTGGATTGATCATTAACTCGTATGTCATGGGTTAACTGTTGCCTCAGAAGTCTTGGATTTATCATTAACTTGTATGTCATTGGTTAAATGTTGCCTCAGAAGTCTTGGATTTATCATTAACTCGTATGTCATGGGTTAACTGTTGCCTCAGAAGACTTGGATTGATCAATAACTCGTATGTCATGGGTTAACTGATCCTAATAACTTAGTTGTTTAAGGATCTTAAATAAAAAAACTTCAAATTTAGCTTCTTTGCATAGCAAAAACAGTGCATATCAATCAAAAGTATATCATGGATGCATGAAAGATGTGTTTTTTCTGCATATATATGCCTTACAATTATGTAGAAATTTTGATTTAACACACAAGTAAACAATGTCTTGGACATTTTTAAGCACGTAAACCATGAATGTTAGCACAGATTTTTTTGGGGGGGCTAATATTATGAGTTAATTAACTCATAAATCAGTTAACTCATAACATTGGAATGTTGGTATGTCCGTCCGTCCGTCCGTAAACATTTCTTGTTACCGCTATTTCTGGAAAAGTACTGGATGGATCTTTCTCAAATTTCATATGCAGTTTCCCCTTGGTCCCTAGTTGTACATTGTACCTTTTTTGGACTGATTCGAATTCAAGATGGCCGACAGGTGGCCATCTTGGATTTTGGAAGTAAAAGTTTGTTACCGCTATTTCTGAGAAAGTACTGGATGGATCTTCCTCAAATTTCATATGCAGTTTCCCCTTGGTCCCTAGTTGTGCATTGTACCTTTTTTGGACTGATTCGAATTCAAGATGGCCGACAGGCAGCCATCTTGGATTTTGGAAGTAAAAGTTTGTTACCGCTATTTCTTGGAAAGTACTGGATGGATCTTTCTCAAATTTCATATGCAGGTTCCCTTTGGTTCCAAGTTGTGCATTATACCTTTTTGGACTGATCCGAAATCAAGATGGCAGACAGGCAGCCATCTTGGATTTTGAGAGTAAAATCTTGTTACTGCTATATCTGAGGAAGTACTGGATGGATCCTTCTGATATTTCATAGATATTGGTTTCCCTTGGTCCCTAGTTGTGCATTGTACCTTTTTTGGACTGATTTGAAATCAAGGTGGCCCACAGGCAGCCATCTTGGATGCCGACAGTAATACAGCACAAGCATATTGTCCATTATCCACCTGTAACTGACTGCAATCTAATGATACTTTGGGATCTTTTTCAAATGATATTTGCTAATAGGTGCTTAATAAAAATATCTTGTGCCATCATTGAGTACATTCAATGAAGACCAGTTCATGAACATTTACAACACCTGTAACAAACAAAAAAAAATAAACAAATCTTCAAGAACTGAAAACAGATCCTCAAATGGTGGGCGCCAAGATCCCTCTGGGATCTCTTGTTATATTACGTGCAGAAATTCTGGCTATTAAATTGAGAAATAACAAGTGTATAAATGGTATAAAATAAACAATTTTCCTCTGTTAATTTCTCAGTATGCAGATGCTACCACTCTCATTTTAGATGGAACCAAGAAATCATTAAAGGAATCCTTGGAGGAACTCACTAAATTTGCAAAAATCTCTGGGCTAAAAATTAATGTAAGTAAAACTCAAGTTATATGGATAGGGGACCAAAAATATAGTGATGAGACATACTACCCAGAATTAATGTTGCAATGGGGGAAAAATTCATTTCTACTCCTTGGTCTAGAATTTCATGTTGACCTACACCGAATACCTAAACTGAATTATGACAAGAAGTTAGTGAAGCTGAAGTCATTAATAAAGATCTGGAGCAGAAGAATTTTAACACCAATAGGAAAGATAAATATAATAAAGTCATTACTTATATCACAACTCAATCACATTTTTATATCACTCCCTAATCCGGATGATGATTTTATTAAAAAATTAAACTCAGAATTATACCATTTCCTATGGAATAGTAAAGTAGATAAAATTAGAAGAGACGTTGTAACTAAAGATTTTTTGGAAGGGGGTCTTAAAATAGTTAACATAAAGTCTTTTATTGACGCATTGAAACTTACATGGATCCGCAGACTTTATACATCAGCGGGTAAATGGCAAGTATTATTTAATATATATGCAGATAGAAATATTTTGAGCAACTGTGGGCCTGAATATATAGCATACTGTCAGCAGAGATGTAGAAACCTGTTTTGAAAAGATGTATATCAGGCATGCAGAAATTTAGTTTTTAAAGAAAGTGATAAGGATGCAATACATTTACTGAAAACTCCTATTTGGTATAACAAACACTTTATGATAGGGGGTTCCAGTCTTTTTTATAAAGAATGGTTTAATAAAGGTATTATTATATAAATGATATGATTAAGGATTGTAATACCAGTTCATTTTATACCCATGCAGAATTTATGCACAAATACGACATATGCACAGACTTTCTTACATATCAAAGCATTTATTTAAAATTTTCATTTAAAAAAAATCACTTGTCCAGTAACATTGCAAATATAACAATAAACTTTCCCTTTATACCAACAAACTTGGAAATATTTTTGAAACATAGAAAGGGGACTAAAGACTTCAATGGCTTGTTATGTAAAAATAATTCTATCTCAAATGGGAAAAGAAAATTGAATTATTTGTTTGATTTTGAAGATGAAACCTGGAAACTAATATATAGTACTCCTTTTCAGGTGACTATAAATTTTAAATTACATTGGTTACAATACAGAATTAATCATCATATCTTAACATGTAATGCCTTTTTATTCAAAGTTGGACTTGTTGATAGTCCATATTGTTACCATTGTAAAACGAAGTAGAGACAATAATTCATATGTTATGGGATTGTACAGAGGTTCAAAAGTTCCTTCAAGACTTTGAATTTCTCCTTGATACCTTATTCATTCCTTTTGCTTTTCATAAAGAAACTTTCATTTTTGGGTTATTGAATCAGAGGGTTGATAATATGATCATTTTAACAATAAAACAATATATTTATAGGACAAGATGTTTACAATCAACCTTATCAATACATGCATTGTGCAAACTTATTAAGGATGCCTATCGCATTGAAAAATATTCTGCTGTTAGAAAAGGAGAGATAATTATCAAGAAAATAGATAATGATTGGAGTAAATGGAAACAGCTTCTTGATACATGACCCTGAATATGCCAACAAGTGTGAAGTACATAAATACTTACTGAAGCTTTTAAATACTGTACAACTCCTTGATAGACACATTGTTTAATTTTCCGTGACAACTTTCTCTGTCTTCCTTTCTCTGTCTCTCTCTTCCTCCCGCTCTCTCCCTCTCCCACTCTCCTTTCCCCCTCTCTCTTTCTCTAAAAAAACATGTGTATAGCAAACAATGCATTCTGGTAATACTGATACACCTGAATCCTAGGGATTAAAACTAATCAGTGATAATGATTATTGTCATAGTTTTGTTTTGTTTTGATGATGATGATGATGATGATGATGATGATGATGATGATGATGATGATGATGATGACTTATAATGTAGTGATGAGGAGGATGATATATTGATGTAATATTATGATGATGAATGTTGACAATGATGATGATGAGGAGGAGGAAGATAGTGTATCATTGTGAATGTTATTCTACATGTTTATTTTGTTATATTCATGTGTATGAAAATCTTGAAAAATAACAAATTTACAAAAACTTTGCAATAACAATAAAACACATGTGTTCATTTGAGTCGGTATCAGTAATACTTGGATGTGAAGTGGGGCCCGATTGGGGGTAATCCATTTTAAGGGACTATTTATAGACATAGCCCAAATTTACCTGTACACTTACTTGTGGAAATAAACAGTGGTCATAGCCTTGGTTTCATCATGGTCTATTATTGGTTTTGATCAATACATTGACATTATAGAGTGACAACACCCATAGCATTACATCATGTTTGTATTTATATTGCAATGCCAATAGGACTGATAGCTCAGCGATAGAATTGAAAGAGTATGAATGTTTCTTGTTTCCAAGACTACATGGTAAAGGTTGTGGAGTTGTTATGTTTATTAGTCTATCTAAATTTTACTCTTATGTGGATAACAGTAATGACAATATCATGTTGATAAAGCTAGCAAGATCATTATCTAATGATGGCATTAGTACTTATTTATTTCTTGTTACTTTCCTCCCATCAACAGCACTTTCTATGAGAAATGTGATAATGATCTTCTCGCTTCATTTGAAGACAGATTTCTATGTATAGAGGTATTGGGAAAGTATTTGTCTTTGGTGATTTTAATAGACAACCAGTAATGATGATTTTATCCAAGACGACACTGTTGGGTATGATGCTGCAAACTTTTTGTCAAGTACATCAAGATATGTTCCTGATGTTAATAACACTAAACGTATCATATGGATATCAGTTCCTGACTGTTATGTATTTTGGAATGGCCATTCACTTGCACTATTGACCTCTGTGACATTGTACCCTGATAATTCTGGTTGCTGTAACATGTCATGCTTCCGCTAAGAATAAAAAAAAAAAAATAGTGATTTAAACCAAGGATACCGGTACATATGTACAAGAGGTCGGTTCCAAGTTTTTTATGATTACCTGTTCGTCATGTCATTTGCAACCATATACAGGATGATTTTATGATTGAATTAAAAATAGCATTTTTGTGGATTTACTTAATTAATTGTATGCTTTAATATGAATGGCAATAATATCTTCTGAACTTTCATGGTTGCTTC